TAAGTGAATGACTCCTGGCCTAGGCTTACCTCGTACAGTGCACTTGTCTATACAACTTCTACCTTTCCTCTACCTGTTGTTCAAACAGTTACAGCCTCGCTCCTGTGCCAGGTAAGTCCACTACGGGCTCACCATAACCCGTGCTACTTGGAACTTTTAGTTCAGAGTAACTGAATCTAAAATAACAGCAACAACACTACCTGTTGCAGAAGATTGCTGTGTCCTCCACCAGAGAACACCTGCCTTCTCTCCCACCACTCGTGCTGTGCACCTGTTGCATCAAGATTTCCAGGCGCACCCCTGGAAACTGTGCTTGTGTGTGCTCATGTGCGTGTGTGCGTGCGTGTGCAAATTGCTGAAGGAGTTGGATGGGTGGATCAGTTGGCTTGTGGCCGCGGCTGAGGAAGGTGCGCGGTCGTCGTCTCAATTCCAGATTTTTCATTCGTGAGTCGCTCTTACCCATCGTGGTTATTCATCCTTGGATGAATGAGGCTGAGTCAAACAACGGAAGGTAACCTGGAGGCTCGTGTAAAGAAATCATGTTGGTGTGTTTGTGTATGTTTGGATTTCCATTTCGTGGTCACGAAGCCTAGTCAAGGTTTTCTTCCTCGTGGTCACCCATCCAGTCAGTGGTCAGACCTACCGGTGTTCAAACGATTGATCGAGAGATACATTCTAGTAATATTTATTTTGGTATTACTGTGAATATTAACTATTATATCTGCATTGTTACTAAAGCTACCAATTCTATAAAGAAAAGTATACTCAGTGCATATATGCCGAATATATGCCATATGCCGTAATATAATAAACTAATCAGCGAAGTTTATTATATTACTTATATTTATAAATACTTTATTATAAGTACTTATAAGTTTACTTATGAGTACTTTATTATAAGTTAGTGAGAGTATTCAAAACGGACAAGGTCGAACTTTATTTCCTGACTCTCGCCTTTTTCAAGATATTGATGCTGTGAGTGGTAAAAAACTTTATCAATTAATATTTGATATTTCGACGCAAGAACTTTAGCTTCGGTTTCTGCTTTTTAACCTTTAATTATCTGGTTCATTTGTTCTCTTAACCTTTGGTTTCCATCGTATTTATATTTGAATTTGTGTATGCAGCTTGCATCCTCTCTGTATTCAGCACTTGTTCATTCTTATTTATTTCCACTTGTTCACTAACCTGACAGTGAAGAAGAATTTTTTAAGATCAGTTGGCTTTTTTGGACTCTATTATATACACGTCCCTCTTCAATTTTTCATGTCAAGTGACATTTTCTTATTTAGCTTATTGAAACTGAGTATTTTTTATGTCGTGATCTTGCTCGTTCCCTACTTCTTCTTTCCTGTTTTGTTTGATCAAAGGAGTTCAAACTCAGTCTAGACAGATCCGGTGAGAGTCAATAACTGTGTGTGGGGTTACGTGATGAACTGCGATGCGTCTTCCTGTACACACACCCTATTTAAACTTTTCTTACTCACTTTCTATCGTTTAAATGCATCGATAACGCACCAACACGTCGCACAATGTGTTCTGAGAGTCCATGACTAGTAAGCGCAGCCGGTTCGCAAACAATTGCATCAGCGTTCAATTTCCGGGCAGGATGAGACGTTTAGGCAAGTTTCCCTTTATCTAATGTCAATGCTCATCTAACTGTAAATAGGTATCCGGGAGTTAAGTAACTGTTGTAGTTTCCATCCCGGGAAAGGATAGTCGTTGGCCCATCCCCTGTCTAGGGGTACCTGGATAGGATAGACTTCCTGTCCTCATCAATGTAAGGGCAGGCCATCAAAGACTAGTTTAACCATTAGCCTATTCATATGAATTACACTTTCCTTAACCAATTTTTTCAACTCACCCTCAAAAAATCAGTAGTATCTATAGCTATTATGGAATGAACAAAATGTAGACTGCTGTACATAAAAAAAAGACCTGCGTTTTGTAATATTTGAATTCTAAATATTATGAAAATTTGAACAGACTAAACTTAAGTCTAGGTCTGAATAAACATTCTTAGGCCTAACATAAGCAATCTTATGCCTAATTTAGCCCATATTAGGCCTAGGAAAAGTTAGGTTTGTGTTTTTGTGGATCAACAAAATAATACAAAATGTCGATTCTTTGGGTACAACCGCTCATATTTTGTTTATACAGCCACACTTGCTACAGGTTCTCTAAGTTTTTGACAAATTTGATTTTTTGTAAATATATCCTGTTCTCCTTGAGAAGTGTTTTTCTCGTTTTCATTTTTCAATTTATCAATAGTGGCAAGTGCCTCTTCACTATATATCTGCTAGTTGGTTTCTCCAGACGGGAGCAGAGGGTGTCTTCATCGCCTAGTTATGGTCTGGTCGATATTGCGCATAGTAAATGTTCAGCATTTATTTCTAAATAATTAAATGCCTAGCCAAAGCCGACAAGGATTTCATAGACGCTTCCGTCTAGCATTCGGTCTATTGCTTAGCAGATTGACAGGTCTCAAGAATAGATTGGATTGCAGTCTCTAGCGACAGGTATCGCTGGCGCTTGAGACCGCACTAGGGTTAACTGGGGAGAAGGTGCTGTCTCCAGTGCCTAGAGAAGTGTGGCCTCCAGAGAGAAGGCTATCGGCCTCCAGCCGCTCGGGCAGCACCACTTGCTCCTCGGGGAAGAAACATGTTCCTTGGCTTCGATCCTGTGGCGCGGAGCGGTCCCTGCAGCATAGGGGATGGTGCACTTCACACCCACAATTACAGTCGTGGATTTTTGTTTTTCCTTGTGACCATCGACATTCATAGTTTGACAATTTGTATCAATTATGAAGCTAAATTTAGCACGAGTGTAAGGTACGAGGCGGTGGGTTGGGGAGAGTTCGTCTCCCAGGAAACAGAGTGTGTGTGTGTGTGTGTGTGTGTGTGTGTGTGTGTGTGTGTGTGTGTGTGTGTGTGTGTGTGTGTGTGTGTGTGTGTGTGTGTACTTACCTGTCGGTATCTACGAGGAAGTAAGCTCAAACTCTCTTTATGCCCCGCCTACTAACCCTGTTGTATCCGTTATAAATTAACTGTTCTGACGATCGATTTTTTGTCGAATTTGGCCTTAAAGCTGCGAATGGAGGTGGCTTCCGCAACATATTTCAATGTATTCCACTTGTTAATCATCCTCACAGAGTACAAGTATACTCTCACATTTCTTCGAGTAATTTGCGTTTCTAGCTTCCACTTACGTCCTCCCGTCCTTATTTTCCAAATTTAAAGAGGCTGACCTTGAACACTTGTCAATTCCCCTCAATATCTTGTATGTTGTAATCATATTCTCTGTGTTTCTGCTCTCCAGGGTTGTGAGGTCTAGTTCCTCCAACCTATCCTCATAGATTTATATTTTGAAGTGCTATTTAGTAGATTATACCACTGATTTGTGTAAACAAGACGAGAATTTTGACTTATCACAACAAATTAATGCAGTATATAGTGTCTCCTCTGTCCAGTGAAGCTGATTAATCGTAATATCCCATATCTATAGTATAGATAGCTTCAACTAAGATATTTGTATATTCCTGGTTATCATCAAAGGTGCCATATAATCCATAAAATTTTGTATTTGTAGAATTCCTTATAATTACTCTAAATATTATCCTATATGTGTGCTTGCGTCTGCTGTAATATTTCCTTACAATTCTTCTATACTTCTTTATCATCTCGAGGTTATCTGTAAATTTAGGTTTATTGTGCATGTATTCCTTTCAAGGTTTTTGTCTGCTTCTCTGGTTATTAAGTCTTTTTAACTACCATTGTTGTTAAGAACATTAAGTGTTCTTAACTATCCGCTCGCTCGGTAACTTATCATTGTATTCTATATTCTACACCACATTACCTCTGCGGCGTTTTCTCCTAACAGGTTGTACAGTGTACGGCATACACCGTACATAGCCTATCTACCATAGGCTCTGTACTGGTGTTAAGGAGACCTCCGCGTATGCATGAAATACTCGTTTCTCTCTCACGGTGAGAAATTATTTAAACCTACCACAGAGAGAGAGAGAGAGAGATTGGAGTCTGCTTTTTAAAAAAAGTCTGCTTTTATATACATAGACACTGAAGATCAGCTAATCCAAATGGATGAAGTGATATGGTCTTAAGTGACCATAGGAGGGAGATACTCAAGAGGCTGAGTGACAGCCCACCAGGAAGGACCTTGAAAAGTATCATGCGTGCTTTCTGTCGACCGCAAGACCACAGGCTCTTCAGGTCAGCCTGGCCCGTCAGGGTACGTCACACCGCCCCTTATATACCTCACTCCTTGCCTCCCACAGTCAGTGGCATCTAAAATCTTTTCAGCAGTTTGAACACACTGACGTCATAGTGTGTTTACAAACGATGACGTAGAGGGATACATATTTTTCTTAGGTCTTAGGTCGTACTCGAGGTTTGAGGTGTCTAACCCATAACTGTATGCAGTGCTGTATGGTGCCTATTAATCTTCGTTTAAATTACCAATCAAGCTGTCAATGCAATCAATCAGAGCTTTAATATACCAATGTGCTTTAATAAACCTACTAATCTCTCATCTCATTTTTTTCTTTCTTACAATGTATCTGTTATCATTTTATTAATTCCGCTAGAATTTACCTACTTAAAATTATCTGTTAGATTAAGGACCTGCTTGAAACGCTGCGCGTACTAGTGGCTTTACAAGATTGTAAATTACCATGCTATGTATTCTCATAAACCCAATGTACCTTCTTGTATATAAATAAATAAATAAATAAATAAATAACAGACAAGATCCGCTCAGTCCGGAACACATCTACTTAAAAAGTAGAGGCGTTCAATTAATTTTGAATTTGTTTTATGAGTTTACGTCCTGAGTAAAGAGTAATCCAATTTTTGACATCTGTATGTAGAATAAAGATATACATTGCACCAGAGCAGGTAAGAGAACTATTATTTATACAAAAAAAATATGCATGCTCTGCTTCTGTAGACAAAAATAACAAGAATTTATTTTTTTTCAGGATCGAATCGTTCCAATAAGCTGTAATGTGCAAAAGACTAGAGCCACCTGGTAAACACGCCTAAGAGTGTCAAGGCGACAGCTGCTGCCACCTGCAGCCTCGTGCGGCTGGCTGCGGGGTGAGGAAACACCACATCACCGGCCGTCTCAGCTCTCGGATCTTCCTCAGCCGATTTCACTTCCGTTTTCTGTATTACGTGAACACTGAATTGAAGTAAAGATCTTGATAACAGAGGCTAATAGTGAGAGAATATTGAACATAGATTTAAAGTGACAACATGAGACTCTTGAGGTGAAGGAGAAAAGAGAACAGAAAAAAGGGCGAAACATGCAGGAGGCGGTTGCGTTGTGAGCACGTGTGTGTGTGTGTGGCTGAAGATGTCTTCACCGAAGTCGCCCAAGTCAGCACTCAGCAAGATAGGGCTAGGACGTCCTAGGCCTCTCAGGATCCTGGTGCTGGGACAGGCTGGGGTCGGCAAATCAGGTAGGTCCTTACAACATGCTGTGTTATGGTCAGTGTAGGCTACCAGGGTACACACGTCACCACGTCCCCTCGCAAGGGGAAGCACACCTCCCCTCACACCAGAGTTCATAGTGAGGAAAGGTTCGTACACAAGCACCTAAATCGTAACGACTGTCTCGTTCTTTTAAGGTTTTCTTGCTATAATATTATATTACCTGAGAAAATCCACCAGGGCTGTGAGGGGGGAAGGGGGGCGCGAACCTCCGACCCCAGCCTTGCTAGTCGCGTACTCGCGCGCCACCTTAAAGGTTTCCACCAAACCCTGGTGGAAAATCACACTATCACGATAGTATGGTTTCTGTATTACCTGTATTACCTCCTCCTGGTCCAGGGACTTTGCACCCGCATGTTCGTCCACAGCGCCCATCGCGCGACACAACTGCAGAGACTCATAAAACTGCCCCTGATACTTTTACACCTGGCATCCTTATACCAGACTCCTGACCTCTGTGATATAGTCTTGTTGTCAGGTGTGGACGGACCTCTCACTTCCGGCTGTGCAATTTTCACTCTAAATATTACCTGAAACTTTAAAAAGAGATGCTTCTTGCATTTACTCTCTCCACTGGGCAACAGAGAGGGATCGGTCGCCTCTGACGAAGAAGAGGAAAGAGGTGAGGAAAGGGGAGAGGCAAAGAGAGGTGGGAATAAAGGAGAAGGGAAAGACAGGGGGAAATAGGGGAGAGATGAGAGGGGGGATAGATTGAAAATAAGAGGGATGAGAAGGGGAGAAGAAATGTAGAGAGGATAGAAGGAAAGAGGGAGACTGGGAAAGAGAGGAGGAGAGGGAAATGGCAGAGACCCCGGGTAACCCATCCAGTATATTATGGAACAGTCACGCCATAAAATCTATCTGAACCAGCCTGAAGAAACAGAGATAATCCTAATACACAATACAAATATAGATTTACTATCACAGGCTGGAAAGGAAAGGAAGAGAGGAGGGGAGTGGAGAAACAGGGAAAGTAGAAGAAAGCGGTAGACACAAAATGTAGATTAGAGAAAGGATGAGAAAGATATTAAACAATAACAACTATGAGGCAAAAATTGATGAGACAATAAAGAGGGAAGGTAGAGAAATGAGTGGAGGAGGAGGAGGATGAGAGAAGCGGGAAAAGTGGGGAAGAGAGAGGAGGTAAAAGAGTATATAACCAATATTTCATCACGATGTTTGTGACTGTGATCCTGTTTACGGCAGCATCAACATAAATGGAAAACAAACTATTATGAATCAAGTTTCGGATTCTGAGAAAAGACAGCAAGAGAGAGAGAGTGAGAGAGAGAGAAGAGGAGAAGAGTGAGAGAGAGAAGAGGACAAGTGGTGTCACAGAGGAAGCAGGAAGACAGGGACCAATTAGAGGTGGCAGGGGCATGGAAGGAGGCAGGAACTCACAGAAAGACATGCATATTTGACTTGAGAGACGCATGGCTTCCCTCACTTGTAGTGAACACTCATGGGTTGATGGGTGTACGATAATCAAAGTAGGGTTTAAAATACTTTCGGCTCCATAAACATCTTCAAAGTAGAGAAGTCACAACAACGCGACTGAAAAAAAAAACAATTCACGCGCGTGTGTGTGTGTGTGTGTGTGTGTGTGTGTGTGTGTGTGTGTGTGTGTGTGTGTGTGTGTGTGTGTGTGTGTGTGTGTGTGAGTAATAACAAGTTATTGTCCCTGGTAGACATACAAGGTGTTTTTCCTATTATCGTGTTCTTTTATCCCATTTCCTAGTAGATAACTTTATCGTGGATCAATTGTTCTTGTTTCCTGTCTTGACCACCCTAATCATGTCCACGCACATTCTTCTCTTCTCCCAATCATGTACACACACATTCTTCTCTCCTCCCAATCATTCCCTCCGCCTCTTTTTCCCTAATCCCTACACTACCCCTCTTCTCTTCCAACAACTGTCCCCCAATTTGTTCTCCCTCATGTTACCTCCCCTCTCCCCGGCAGCTCTGGTGGTGCGGTATATCACCAGGCGTTATATCGGCGAGTATGACCCATGTCTGGAGCGCGTATACCCGCATGCTGCTGTTATCGATGGGGAGACGCTTGCCTTGGAGATCCTGGACTCTGCTGGCCAGTCACATGTGAGTATACTGCAGGAGTCACGTGTGAGTATACTGCCTGTGTCACGTCTGGGTATACTTTTACATTCGAACGACGAGCCTTCAAACGGCAGATAATCACTGATCTTGTCCCAAGACATCGATTGAAAGATGACTGATAGCTCGGGCAAGCATCTCTCCCTCGGGTCCAACTTTGACACAAATATTCTATTTTTGATGGATTAGGCTGCCAACCATCCCCTCGTCAGCTCAAAACGGTGGCGTTTCGCCTAGATGTGAAGATAGCTTAAATCTGTGTAATATATATATATATATATATATATATATATATATATATATATATATATATATATATATATATCTCTGCGCTCCAGTGCAGTATTTGTACTACAAACTGTAAACTTTTTCTCTGATAAAAACATTCACAACAAAACTGAAGTTTAAAAGTTATCAATTTATAAATGATACATTAATTATATATATATTTGCATAATTTATTAATAATTAAGAGCACTAATTAGCTCATAATGTAATAGGAGGTTGTACCGTTAATTACTTAATTAGCTATGGTGTAATTAGTGTCCATTGCTTTGTACCGATGTCTTCATAGGTTTTCTCGTGAAGTGGTGTGGCTCGTGGTGTGGCTCATAGTGTGGTGTGGCTCCGTAGAGTGCTGTGGCTGGGCATCTTTAGCAAATCATTTTAATTTCGAACAATGTTACTGTTGGAAAGCTTCCTTCCCCAGCGACTTATGGGTGCACGCGAAGGCTCCTGTGAACCACTTGCTCACTCAGGCATAAAATATAACACACACACACACACACACACACACACACACACACACACACACACACACACACACACACACACACACACATAAAACACACATAAAACACACTCACATACACATAAAATATAAAACATGCACACACACACATACACATAAAATCAGCCCGTCCTCCAAAAATGGGGGAGGTAAATGTAACAGCACAAATAAGTGCAATTGTGTACTATTCATAGCAGTCAGGAATTGTACTTATTTTCACTTAGTATTAAATCATAGTGTCAAATATAGTGTGAATATTTGAGTTTACCTGAAAAGCTGAATAGAAAACCATGACCTCACCTAACCTTCTTAGTGTTTGAATTTAAGCATTTTATTGCTTCTTAATTACAATTAGTACTTAACCTATAGGAACTTGTTTCGAGTAGCTGAATCTATAACAACAACAACAACGAATTGAACTTGAAAACTTCATCCTAAAATTCTGAGTGACTTAACAGAAAACGAGGAGAATAAATGGAGAGGTAAATGTAACAGCCCCATAAGTGCAAATATGTACTGTGTATGACAGTAAGGAAATGTACTTATTACACTTAGTATTAATTCGTACTCTCAATTCGGAGGATGGGCTGCAGAAAATATAAAACACACACACACACACACAAAATATATAACACAAACACACATAAAATATAACACACAAACACACATAAAATATAACAAACACACATAAAATATAAAACATACACATAAAACACACAAACAAAATATATAACACAATTTACCATCAATGAGATCAGTCTTCCAGTGTTTTTGAGAAGCGAGGTTTTCTCTCAGTTTGGGTCCACTGTTGACACATTCTATACTCTGCTATACGTACTTCATGTATGGTCGGGTCTCGGCTCCTGGGCCCCCACCACCATCTTTTGAACAGTGTCATTGATTTATAGAACTGTGTTTTGGTCGTAATAACAAGGGCAAGCTAATTAGACACCTGGTTAAGTGTGGTCTACCTGTGTAAACATCCGGGGCGGAGAGTTACGTCATCCTTGAAGCGTAGATTGCGTAATTAATTGAAGTTTTGTGGCTTCGGCGACGCTGAGGACGGTGTGTTGTGGAGGGAGCGAGTGTTGTGGTCTTGAAGTGTTTGTCCACACTAGACGTGTTGATTCAGCGGCTGCAACGTCACAAGCGGCAACGTCATCGGGAATACTGCGTCACCAGGAACAACACTGCGTCGCCAGGAACAACAGTGCGTCGCCAGGCGCTTCACTGCGTTGCCAGGAACAACAGTGCGTCGCCAGGAACAACAGTGCGTCGCCAGGCGCTTCACTGCGTTGCCAGGAACAACAGTGCGTCACCAGGAACAACACTGCGTCGCCAGGAGCAACAGTGCGTCGCCAGGAACAACAGTGCGTCGCCAGGCGCTTCACTGCGTTGCCAGGAACAACAGTGCGTCGCCAGGAACAACAGTGCGTCGCCAGGCGCTTCACTGCGTTGCCAGGAACAACAGTGCGTCGCCAGGAACAACAGTGCGTCGCCAAGAACAACAGTGCGTCGCCAGGCGCTTCACTGCGTTGCCAGGAACAACAGTGCGTCGCCAGGAACAACAGTGCGTCGCCAGGAACAACAGTGCGTCGCCAGGCGCTTCACTGCGTTGCCAGTAACAACAGTGCGTCGCTAGGAGTAACCGTCGCCAGGAACAACACTTCGTCGCCAGGAACAACACTTGGTCGCCAGGAACAACACTTCGTCGCCTGAAACAACAGTGCGTCGTCTGGAACAACAGTGCGTCGCCAGGCGCAACACTTCGTCGCCAGGAGCAACAGTGCGTCGCCAGGAGCAACACTTCGTCGCCAGGAGCAACAGTGCGTCGCCAGGAGCAACAGTGCGTCGCCAGGAGCAACAGTGCGTCGCCAGGAGCAACAGTGCGTCGCCAGGAGCAACAGTGCGTCGCCAGGAGCAACAGTGCGTCGCCAGGCGCTTCACTGCGTTGCCAGGAACAACAGTGCGTCGCCAGGAACAACAGTGCGTCGCCAGGCGCTTCACTGCGTTGCCAGGAACAACAGTGCGTCACCAGGAACAACACTGCGTCGCCAGGAGCAACAGTGCGTCGCCAGGAACAACAGTGCGTCGCCAGGCGCTTCACTGCGTTGCCAGGAACAACAGTGCGTCGCCAGGACCAACAGTGCGTCGCCAGGCGCTTCACTGCGTTGCCAGGAACAACAGTGCGTCGCCAGGAACAACAGTGCGTCGCCAGGAACAACAGTGCGTCGCCAGGCGCTTCACTGCGTTGCCAGGAACAACAGTGCGTCGCCAGGAACAACAGTGCGTCGCCAGGAACAACAGTGCGTCGCCAGGAACAACAGTGCGTCGCCAGGCGCTTCACTGCGTTGCCAGGAACAACAGTGCGTCGCCAGGAACAACAGTGCGTCGCCAAGAACAACAGTGCGTCGCCAGGCGCTTCACTGCGTTGCCAGGAACAACAGTGCGTCGCCAGGAACAACAGTGCGTCGCCAGGAACAACAGTGCGTCGCCAGGCGCTTCACTGCGTTGCCAGTAACAACAGTGCGTCGCTAGGAGTAACCGTCGCCAGGAACAACACTTCGTCGCCAGGAACAACACTTCGTCGCCAGGAACAACACTTCGTCGCCTGAAACAACAGTGCGTCGTCTGGAACAACAGTGCGTCGCCAGGCGCAACACTTCGTCGCCAGGAGCAACAGTGCGTCGCCAGGAGCAACACTTCGTCGCCAGGAGCAACAGTGCGTCGCCAGGAGCAACACTACGTCAGCAAGAACAACGCCACGTCGCCATTCCCTAATTACTGAACCTGTTCTCTCGCATAATGCCCCTCGATAACGACACATCTCCTGACTAAGGGCGTGGGCCTGGGTAGGTTAGGCGCGCTAAAGTGTTAGGTAGGTTAGGCGTATGCACCTGGAGAGATTACACCACGTCATATTTGACTCGTGTCCACCTGCATTAAATGCAAAATCCACAGCGATTATAATGGTTAGAAAAGCTGTACAAGAATGTGATACACTAGTGAACGTTGTCCATCTACCACCAAGATAATGTTATTAAAACAAAAGACTAAAACCAGTGCGCTAAAACAGAGGTGGCAAAGAAACGGGATAAAAGGAGGAAAACCGCTCACCTCCAATTAAATCCCTGACCCAAGTAGCACAGTAACAAGGTTATCGTGAGTAACGGAATTCAATTACGGGTTCGCTATAGCCCGTGCTACATGAACTTTTTGTTCTGAGTAGCTGAATCTAAAACAACGACAACAAGATTCCTTCAGTTTGTCTAGGTCATCATGAAGCATTATACCATCTTCTTCTGCCTTAATCCTCCTCATAATTTTTGCATCATCAGCAAACATTTAAAGGGACGAGTCTATTCCCTCTATACGAGTCTGTGTGTATGTGTATTCACCTAGTTGTGCTTGCGTGGGTTGAGCTCTGCTCTTTCGACCCGCCTCTCAACTGTCAATCAATCAACAGTTACTAACTACTAATTATTTTTTCTACACACACACACACACAGGAAATAGATCGTAGCAGCTGTAACTCACAGGTACCTATTTACTGCTAGCGTGAACAGACGCATCAGGGTGAAAGAAACTCTGCCTATTTGTTTCCGCCTCCACCGTGGACCGAACCCGGAACCTTAGGACTACGAATCCAAAGCGCTGTCCACTCAGCTGTCAGGCCCCCATCCTGTTTGCTTCCTGTGTGTGTGTGTGTGTGTGTGTGTGTGTGTGTGTGTGTGTGTGTGTGTGTGTGTGTGTGTGTGTGTGTGTGTGTGTGTGTGTGTGTGTGTGTGTGTGTGTGTGTGTGTGTGTGTGTGTGTTCACTGGTGAATGTCATTATTCTCTTCCTGAATGTAACATCATTTTTGCCTTTGAAGTTCTTTACAGAAGCTGCTTCAACATCCGTTTAATCCGTTCTATAACTTTAAATTCTTACGCATAACAAAATATTCCTGACGTCAATGATTTGTTCGGACCTTTCCAGTCATCGTCGATGTCTCATCGCTTCAGTATTTGCTGTGTTGGGTTGCTTTTTATTCATCTTTTATTTCCCTCAGAATATTGTAATTTGCTATTATGTTTCGTCTATTCCTCGTGTCCTCTACTGTTGGGGGATCCAGTTCTACCACCCGAGTCATAATGCGTATCTCTTCACTTTCCCTTTGTTTGATTTTCTGTGGAGATTCCATGACAGAGATGCATACTCAGAAGCGAGTCTCACATACGTTGTATTTGGTATTCCGAAGAATTCCTAATTTAGGTTTCCTAAGGCCACCCGGACATTTGCCAGTTTTTAATGTGTTGTAAAAGTTGTCTACTGTGTGCCTCCGATGTCGGGCTAGCGGTCATGTCCTCACCTCCGTCATTATCACCAGCATCTTATTAACCATTATCATCGTATTCCCCCATTCTCTATATCTCCTATGCTTCCGTCTTGTGGGTCCGGGGCTTGACCCACATCTAGGATCCAGCACTTAAGCTGCAAGACGCCATCTTTGGAACTAATTGGCTTCCCCCTTCCTCCCCTCTCCTTCAGCGCTCCCCTACCTCAGTTCCCCCTCAGTGCCCCCCCCCCCACTTCTCCATGTCAGCTTGTCCTATCCTCAACCTTCCCCAACACACACCTCGCTCCTCTCTTCCGGACATCTCCACCCCCCACAGCTATAGTCATCCCCTCAACCCGAGTTCGATTTCCAGACAGGGCGAGCGTTCTTTTGGACACGTTTCCATACCGCTGATGCATGTGTTCATGAAGAAGTAAACAGGTATCCGGAGGCTTGGATACTTGAAAGTTGCATCCGCCGCCTCCGGAGGACAGTGACAAGAACCCACAAACAATTTAGGATCACCATGCGTGCGATCTCAAGGACTGCACCAGGCCTTGAGCCTTCCGTCGTTAAGATTATTGACCTTAAAATAATTATCACCTTAAAGTTGACGCAGTCTTAACGGGTCAAATCTTTTGAAAGAAAAAAATTACAAAATTCGTAAAGTCTCGCAAGGAAAATGTTTTGAACTTCTGTATATAAAAGGTTACGAAAATCTCTTGACTCGACTCTACAAGCTTTCACTTGGAGAGTAATAGTGTTGCGTAATTTTGTGTTAGCGCGGGAGGGAGCCCATGTGGTTACGGACACGCGTGACGGAGTCAGGAGAGATTAAAGTTAGATTAGGTTATTGAGGCGATTTAGGAGCGACCACTCTGAAAGAGGTATATTAAATGAACAAATGTGTAGTGTAGTGTTAGGTATTAAATATTCTGAGAGAAGATAACAAATATACAGTGTGAAGTATTTCAGCTGACTGTATTGTCTGAAAAGCTGCGGTAGTTTAGAACTTTTCATCAAGCTGCTCCTTAAGATGTGAATGGCTTGTAGAGGCCGAGGAAAAGTATTAGAGAAATACGAAATTTTGGTCCTTGTCCTTGATGGTTCAATGGAAACACCCTCGCCTAGCTCTTCTGGAACGACTTGGTCTGGGTTATAGTCCTGGCCAGGGAGGATTGACTAGGCACCGATCCTTAACTATTCGCCTCTGTTCACCCAGCAGTAATTGGGTACCTGTTTATTAACCAATTGGCGGGTCGTGTTCCAGGAAAAATGAATGTGTAAGGCTTACCATGAGCTATGGGAAGGGAAAGCTCTCAGCCTGCTAACAGGAGTCTAACGGCGGTGGTCCAAGGCTACGACCGCTGGGCTCCTGAGTCCCCTCCTACATCCACCCTCCCAGTCCCCTTCACCCAACCTTCATACATCCCCTCCTATCCCTGTACATCACTCACCCTTCTCGTCCCTACCCCCAGGAGACGGACAGCGTGAGGTTGGAGGCCAATATACGCTGGGCCGACGTGTTCATCCTCATGTACTCCGTGACAGACAAGTGCAGCTTCGACGACTGCAATAGACTCAAGTTCCTCATCAACTATAACAAGCGGAAGAGGCGCATTCCCAGCCCGACCTCTAAGGTGGGTGGTTAGGGTGTGGGGAGTGTGGATGGGTACGGGTGTTTACGGGTTGAGGATTGAGGTCTTTAAGAATGGACTGGTTTGTGACGGATCAATCCACACTACTACTTGTACCCACACCAATCTACCTCTACTGTCTACTTACCAAAGTAGACAGTAGAGGTAGATTGGTGTGGTTAGAAGAGGGGGCGAGGGCGGGAAGGTGAATTTCGACAAGTGGGAGTGTAGGATGGAATTATCAGGAGAAAGCACCAAGCCATTAGACTATATAGCACTTGGAAGGGTTCAGGATAAGGATTTGGGATAGGATGGGAGGAAAGGAATGATGCCCAACCATTTGGACGGTCGGGGATTGAACGCCGACCTGCATGAAGCGAGACCGTCGCTCTATTGAATGTTTTATTGGGTGTTTCTCTTTACTTTTTTTTACACTCACTGTGTAAGTACAGTTTGATCACGCCAGAGTTGAGGTCAGTACCAGACGTGACACAAAAGTTGTAGGATACGGCTGGCTCCTGACCAATAAGGTGAAGGTTTATGTATAGATATTTCTTTTTAGTCGCTTGTCGAGTCTTTAGGAGTTAGTGGATGTACAGAGACATCTACCGGGACTTCGCCGCATATCTCTAGCCATTTTTTATATTCTCTCTCGCCATCCTTCTCCCTCTCACCTTGGTCTTTGGGTCCCTAGGACGGATCGTGGGAAGTGCCGGTGGTCCTGGTGGGGAATAAGAAGGACCAGGGAGGCGACAGAATGGTGGCCACAGAGGAGGGCTTCAAGCGCACCAGAGACATCGGCTGCCACGCTTTCCACGAGATCTCCGTCAGGGAGAGCATTGAAGAGGTGAGTAATGGTGAGTGAACGAGTCACTGATCCCTACCCGAAGGTGTGTAATGTCACCTGTACTTCCTGAGTTAAAGAGAGATGGTGACTACTATGCACCAGCAGGCGAGCAGTGCACTGGGCCCTCCACCCACTCCAGTGCCCCCACGAACTGATCCAGTTTAAGAAGTCCCTTTTAATACTCTGCGCCTCTACCGCCCTCTTCAGTCCCTCGTTGGAACAGCAGCAAAACCCTTACTCAAATCCGGATACATAATATCGTAATCTTCAAATACGCTGGAAAAGAATGAGATGAGTGCAAATTTGCGAAACACGATCAAAGTGCGTCTTATATTTCTCGTGATTACAAATGGAATTTGCGATTATCGCTTTAAACAATTTACATGTATGTTCCAGTGATATTTCTGCTTTTTAGACCATTTGCAACCATCCGCAACAGGAACAGATGTCAATTCTAACGAGTTCTTAAATATTCTGGACAAGCGTTGATTAAACTCTCCGAGGCCTAGAGACATTTTATGTGTTTTCAAACGCCTTCGCTAATATTTAATTACCATATATGCTCCCATTTATGTTAGGTTTAATGAGATCCCCGCTATAATGAAATCCCCGCTAGGACCAACTGCTAACCTTTCCCAGGATGCAGCCAACAGGTTACCTAACTCCCAGGTATCTATTTAATGCTAAGTTAACCGAAGCATCAGGTGAAAGGAATTGCAAATACTCACGCTTTATCTTAAATGCTCACGCTCTCTCCTGCCCTCCTACTCGCTCCCACTCTCTCATGCACTCACACTCGCTCTCACGCTCTCTCATGTACTCAGACTCGCTCTCACACTCTCATGCCCTCATACTCGCCCCCACGTTCTCTCACGTACTCCTACTGGCTCCCACGCAGGTGTCTCTGGTATTCGAGGACGCAGTTCGGTACTGGCGGGAGGTTGTCAAAACGCCCAAGCTTCGTCGTGCCTCATCTGACCTGCATGACCTTCCTGGCGACCCCCACAAGGCTCTCCACCCACCCGTCAGTGTCCCAGGTGAGTCAGTGTCCCTGGTGAGCCAGGTGAGTCAGTGTTCCCGGTGAGGCAGTGTTCCGTCTTTATACCAGGTCTCTATTTACAAGAAATTTCAGTTTACCAAGGATAAATTTGCCCGCTTTCACCTTGGCAACAGTGTTTGCATAGCCTCGCTTCATCATATAAGCCATTGGATGCAGTGTCCATGTTCTTGTGCAAGCAAACTTGCGCTTAAATTTTTAGGATTCTGCGCTAAATATACACTAATACTGTATTTGTATGAAGGGTTTATTTACATAATGTTATGCTTTTACGGATAGGGAAGTGTTGCATGCCATTCATAATATGTACCTGAACCTATATCACTCTCAACTGTATTGTAAGATAGAACTTTCAATAATGATCCAGTATATGTTAAACCTACTTGTAGTCTGTAAACTATTGTGCATTATATTTGTGGTGATGTGAAACTTGACCTTGTTTAATGACTCGTTCACATTCTCTAAAATCCTAAACATTATAGCCACTGTTAGTGCATGTGTGTGTGATCATTGTCGTCTTTAAGGTGGCTAGGCTACCTGCCATCTGTAATGAACATCTATGATGCATGTCACTTGCCAGTGTCACGTGTCCAAGAGGCAGTGAGGCCTCATGCAGTAACCAAACCCCAGCTTCCAAAAATGATAAGTTCTTATAGCCACTATGGAGGGACTATACAAAATATGAGCCTTCAAGCAAAGAAATTTCACTTGTTTGTACCATTTGCAATAATAATAGCCTAACCATGAACCTAGGCCTTGTATATGCACTATTAAGGTTAGTAAAATTAGTTCATATGCTTACTAGGCCTAGGAAAGGTTAGGTTTGGTTGTGGCCTACTTTCTCGAGACCCCATACAAAATCACTAGCAGAAAACTTGTATATTTTTTTGGGTGTAACCATTCATATTTTGACCAGTCCATAATTGCTATTTGGTATTATCTTTCTCTGAGAACAGGTTGTTCTTGGAGAACAGGCTGCAATAAACCTGTGTGTGTGACATGTCTCTGTGATCTTTACAGGTTCCCCAGTGTTCTCCCGCTCCTACGCCACCCGCACCAGCCACAGACTAGCAATACGCTCCCACACCCACCCTGTCTCCCCCAGCCTCGCCCCCGTCAACCTCCTGTAGCGCCCCCTTACTACCGTCAACTTCCCTACACCTGCCGTCACTTCAGTTGACCATTGCAACATGACCTGACCGTCTGTGACAACATAATAATAATCCACCTTGCTACTGCGGCTTGAAATAGCGCTCAATAGTTCATTCCTGTCACCCGCCAAAATTTTTCCATTCCCCACATGTTGAGTTGCCACTAAAGCTGACCTTAATATTCACATTCGACAAAAAAGGCTATAGGTGACCTTTTTTTTGTAAATTATTGAACGACTTTCCCAAATGTTGCAGTAATATCACTATTATCATTGAAAGAAAACCAAATGTTACTAGGGATAACTTTCATATGTTCTTCAGAAACCTAAGTATATGCGAATTTTTAGATATCATTGCTCATTCGTGCTTTTATTAATGTATAATATGTAATTTTAAGTAACCGTTAAAACAACTGACCTCAGTAACTCCCCCACCACCCTAGTGTAATCTTTTAACCTCAGGAAACTCGTAGTATAATTATATAAGGGTCCCGGTAGTACAGTCGGGTTCGTTCTCGACGCACAATCGAGAATTTCGGGTTCGAATCCCGGGCGGGACAGAAATAGTTGGGCACATTTCCTGTCACCTAATGCGCCCTGTTTACTTAGCAGCAAGTAGGTACCCAGGAGTTAGTCAGCGTATTGTGGGGTTGCACCGTGGACGGGGTCAGTAATTCGACCCTAAAAGGGGAGGGCGGAGGGACCTTCGATAAAAGCCTAACGTGTATGAATACACTCTGGCTTCCTGTCCCCCGACCCAGTGAATTATTACTTATTCTTAGTTCACTTGACCTCAGTCCACTTGCTATTCTTACAGTAATCCTATACGTTTTTGTGCCTTCGTTTGACCCCCAATCCTAAGTAATTACCTGAAGCCTTAATGACCTTATTCCTATTGAATAATGTGACCTCAGTTAAAAAAAAAAAAAGTCCTGTGATGCTTCACTTGACATTCAGTGCTCATGGTTACCTCGGCTGACCTCCATCAGTATTCAGTGTCCTCACCTGACCTCACTCGAAATCCAGCAACTATTGATATAGCTTTCATGCCCAGAAAACCTTTAATTGGGAGACTTACCTCCCAGTTGGGGAGGGTGGGGGGGATGTGTTTTTCAACAACAGGCCAGGGGAGGGAGGGAGGGTCACTCAATAACAGGCTCTCTCTCAACAACAGGTCAGGGGGAGAACTCTCGGCAACAGGTCAGAGGGAGTGCTCTCTACAACAGGCCAGGGAAGGAAGGTGGGGCTCTCAACAACAGGACAAGGGGGGGGGGGTAGGACTCAACAAGAGGCCAGGTGGAAGGGACAAGAAGAAGCCTTGACTTACGCCATGTGACTCCTTCACTTTTGAGCGACTTTTTTGACGTTTAAAAATACTTTGCAGCCTCTTGAACCGTTATACCGTGACTGGCGTTAGTTGTCCTCAGCACTAGGGTATGTGTGACCCCAATACCCATCAGTGTGACCCCAGTACTCATCAATGTGACCCCAGGACATTGGCCAGTGTGATCCTGTAAGGCCCAGCACGTTCCGGTGTAGCCTTCCTCGTCTCAGTGTGACCTGGTAGGTGCTAGTGTGACCTGGTAGGTGCTAGTGTAAACCAGTATCGTCCCATCAAGACGCAGCATGACGCAGCGTGCATCACTAATATTCAATAAGCTCAAGTATGGACCGGCGTAGTATTAAGTCAAGCATATTCCTGTATAATTATCTCTCAGTATTCCTGCATGTTATACCGCTACTCAGCATGTCTCAGTGTTCCTCTAACCAGCACGCTGTAGTGACAATGTTCCAACTAACCTAGCATACAGAATGTTAACCTGACTTATCCTAAACTAACCTAATCTGCACAACAAACTAGCTAACCTATCGTAGCTGATACGGTACTAATTAGTAGGAGGTAACGTGAATTTGTCGGTTGATTGATTGATGAAGATTAAGCCACCCAAAAGGTGGCACGGGCATGAATAGCCCGTAAGTGGTGGCCCTTTTGAGCCATTACCAGTATCAAAAGCTGATACTGGAGATCTGTGGAGGTGCGAATGCACCCTGCATGACGGGAGATGTCTCCTTTGTGAATGTGTTAAGATGAAGATGAAGCCACCCAAAAGGTAGCACGGGCATGAATAGCTCGTAAGTGGTGGCCCTTTTGAGCCATTACCAGTATCAATAGAAGATACTGGAGATCTGTGGAGGCGCGACTGCACCCTGCGTGACGGGACATGTCTCCCGTGACTGATCAAGATGATGATGATGATGAAGATTAAGCCACCCAAAAGGTGGCACAGGCATGAATAGCCCGTAAGTGGTGGCCATTTTAAGCCATTACCAGTATCAAGACCTGATACTGGAGATCTGTGGAGGTGCGAATGCACCCTGCATGATGGGAGATGTCTCCCTTGTGAATGTGTTAAGATGAAGATGAAGCCACCCAATAGGTGGCACGGGCATGAATTGGTAAGTGGTGGCCCTTTTGAGCCATCACCAGTATCAATTGATGATACTGGAGATCTGTGGAGGTGCGACTGCACCCAGCGTGACGGGAGATGTCTCCCGTGTTTTAAACAGATGAAGAAGATGAAGATGAAGCCACCCAAAAGATGGCACGGGCATGAATAGCTCGTAAGTGGTGGCCCTTTCGAGCCATCACCAGTATCAAGTGCTGATACTGGAGTTCTGTGGAGGTGCAAGTGCACTCTGCGTGACGGGAGATGTCTCCCATGAATGTGTCCAAGATGACGATTAAACCATCGAAAAGGTGGCTTGGGCATGAATAGCCGATAAGTGGTGGCCCTTTTGAGCCATTTCCAGTATCAATAGATGATACTGGAGATCTGTGGAGGTGCAACTGCACCCTGCGTGACGGGAGATGTCTCCCGGACCAAGTGTGTGGAATTTGTCGGTGATTAAAACACTAAAGCACCGGAATTCTGACGCCGTGGTCTATAGCGTACAAAGTGAGGTGCATCAAATGTGAAATTGTGCTGTAGGCTCTAATTTGACTAAAATGCACTGAATAATTCATATGGTCGAAGAGTATGTATGTATATATGTATATTATATATATATACATACATATATATATATAGATTGTAGGTCAATTGTAGGCCTGAGTCAATTGTTGTGGGGGATTGCATCCTGGGGAGGGTCAGTAATTCGACCATAGGGGACCTCGATATAAGCATAAAGTATATACATACACAGGCTCCCTATCCCCCCGACGAAACGAAGATAAGAATGTGCAAGCTTGGGGTAGCTTTTGTACACATGTTGCTTACAAAATCCAATCCAGGTTAGGTTGGTTTCAACATGTTTACACGACGGGTTGGTTAGTCCAGAGTGGACCACGATCTCAGTCCATGCTTGTTACATAATAAATCAAATTTTGCAACTAGTACACATATCACTTTTCATACTATTAATATAAAAATATTTGTCTCGATTCTATGTGCATACAGAGTACCCTAATTGATGCCAATATCAATAAACTGGACAATTTATTCTTTGGCCAATGATAGTTGGCTTCCTCAGCGTTATCAAACGTGTTTTTTCAGTAAATAAGTCTGAAAATAGGGTGTTATCTTGCAAAGTAATACGTATTTTGTTACATCTCATTACCATGTATATGGAAACCTGGAATTATTTTATCTTACCTTGTCTGAAATGTGATGTTGGCGGCCCGCCATCCTTTGTAGAAATGTTGCCAGGCATTTCTCGTCGGGTAAACACAGATCACGAAAGGCAGATCACGAAAGGTAGTATAATCACAAGCGTTCATTCACAAACGGTAAAGAACGTTCACAAGTGTTCACTCTCACGCTCTAGAGAACGGTCCCGGGTATTAGCAGACATGAAATAAGCGCTGCGCCCGCCCACCCTCCTGTTCACGCAACCTTGGCCTAGACCAGGTAAGCAGCGGCCTTACAAAAGGACGCATTCATAATTTTATCATATTGTGTTTTAAAAATAGATTTGTTCTCGTATGTAAATTAGTATTATTATATATTAAATTTCCATATAAAGTTAGGTTAGGTGTTTAGGGTCTGCTGGCGATTATATTTGTATTTAAAGTACGTGGGTGAACAACCCGTCTTCAACTCGACTCCATTACATCCAACGGTTGACCCCACAAACGCATTCAATTTTTTTTACATGCTGTTCATTCAAAATAGTAATTTTCTCAAATACAAATTATTATTATAATATATTAGCATATTGTGCATATATATAGGTTAGGTTAGGTTGGGTGTTTAGGTTCTGTTGGCGATTATTTGTATTGGTAGTACGTGGGTGAAGCATTTATAGCGTTGGGGTTCGAACAAAATTTGTCAGTGAAGCACTTGTTCCGGAAGTGGTCGAATGAAATCAATTGTGAGTCGTGTACAAACCGTTTTTCATTCATAAACAGGGGGTTTGGCGGGTGCATGGAATCACTTTTGGGTCTTTGTTTGGAGGACGGGCTGGGGTGAAGCGTTTACAGCGTTGTGGTTCGAACAAAAGTCGTTAGCGAAGCACTTGCTCGAGAAGTGTACTCATCAGTTGTGAGTCGCGTGTAACAGCCCCTCCTCAAAACAAAGACCCAAAGTCCATTACATGCACAGCCCGTCCTCCAAACAAAGATCCAAAAGTGATTCCATGCACCCGCCAAACTCCCTGTTTAAGAATGAAAAGCGGCTTACACACGACTCACAACTGCTGACGTTCGAACATATCCGGAACAAGTGCTTCACTGACGAATTTTGTTCGAATCACAACGCTATAAATGCTTCACCCACGTACTACAAATACAAATAATCGCCAACAGAACCTAAACACCTAACCTAACCTAACCTATGCTGATATATACACAATATGCTAATATATTATAATATTAATTTATACTTGCGAAAATTCCCGTTTCGAATGAACAGCATGTTAAAATTTATGAATGCGTCTATGGGGTTGACCGCTGAATGTAATGGACTTGAGTCGACAACCCGTCCTCGACTCAAGTCCATTACATTCAGCGGTCGACCCCACAGACGCATTCATAAATTTTAACATGCTGTTCATTCAAAACGGGAATTTTCTCAAGTATAAATTAATATTATAAAATATTGGCATATTGTGTATATATAGGCATAGGATAGGTTAGGTCAGGTGTTTAGGTTCTGTTGGCGATTATTTGTATTTGTAGTACGTGGGTGAAGCATTTATAGCGTTGTGATTCGAACAAAATTCGTCAGTGAAGCACTTGTTCCGGATATGTTCGAACGTCAGCAGTTGTGAGTCGTGTGTAAACCGCTTTTCATTCATAAACAGGGGGTTTGGCGGGTGCATGGAATCACTTTTGGATCTTTGTTTGGAGGACGGGCTGGAGTCGAGGACGGGTTGGATGACGTCCAAACACTTCCTAAACAAGTGCTTCGCTGACGACGTTTGTTCGAACCACAACACTGTAAATGCTTCACCCATGTAACACAAATACAAATAATCACCAAAAGAAACTAAACGCCTAACCTAACCTAACCAGTGCCTAAATAGGCACAATATGCTAATATAATAATATTAATTTATATTGAGAAAAGTTCTGTTTTGAATGAACAGCATGTTAAAATAGATGAATGAACGTGAATAGATGAGATGAACGTCCTCCAAACAAAGACCCAAAAGTGATTCCATGCACCCGCCCATTTGATGAGAATGCAACGTGAACAAGCACATTGGGAATACAATTCATTGCACAAACAGATCAGACATTGGTAAGGTTGTGCTAATGCACAACTCTGCAAGAGCACAAAAGACCCACCGCACCAAGACGCCAGCACACCTTCAGAGGAGACTGAAACCCGTAAATGCTGCAATATGTTCCCCGTCATTCAACAAGCGTGTGTGAGATGAGTTGGCATGAAGTTGGGAAAAGATTGGAAGGGTTAGAATGAGGAGCTGAGAAAAGATCAGGATGGAAGCTAGAGAAGTTTATTATAATAATCAGGAACGTTGGGAGGACTGACTGGCTTTTCCCACTCCCAAACGGATATTTACATCTTCAGGAGGCATCAGTTCGTTGTGCACTGTGAAGGTGCTGAAGTATACGTAAAGGAAAACCTGGAGTATCAACTGTAGGTGACAGGAACTTGCAGCGAAGGGGAAGCGTAAATTAATATACTACTTAGGAAAATAAATTATTTGTCCACTGATTGTGTTGATGAGCAAAGCTGCTGCTGCTCCTTCTCTCAAGCCATGCAGCTGCTTGTTATTGTCACCGGAAACCAGACGAGTGCCGCTGCTCCACACCCACTCTGCACTGACAGCTGTCAACCTCTCTCTCTCTCTCTCTCTCTCTCTCTCTCTCAAGGTCTACACGTTTCTTATTTTAACACTGCTTGGAAATGATCTTTAGACTTATCATAGTAATTATCTATCCAGACTATGATACGGCTATACGTATCTCTCTCATCTAGTGTGTGGGTCTGTGCAGTCACTGACCCCCCACACACTAATATAAGCTAAAAAAAACTATTATCACAGCTAACAGAGGTAAGAGATCGCTAACAAAGTTAACAGTCTAGCTAACAAAAATAAGCACCAGCTAACAGAGCTACCAGTCACCTGATACGTTGCTAATAGTTAACACTGCAAGCAGCCTGTTATTTGTTAAAATTCAAGTCAAACTAACACAGCTGACAGTATATTAACACAACATATAGATAAAAGTTACTAGTTATCTAAAACCAACAAAACTTAATATAAAATCACCAAACACCCCAACCACTATCTATCAGCTACCAAACATCCGTCATTTATTAGCCACCAAACATCCCCACTAGTCATCTATTAGCCCCCAAACTCCCCCACCAGTCATCTATTAGCCACCAAACACCCCTACCAGTCATCTATTAGCCCCCAAATTCCCCCACCAGTCATCTATTAGCCACCAAACATCCCCACCAGTCATCTATTAGCCACCAAACACCCCTACCAGTCATCTATTAGCCCCCAAACACCCCCACCAGTCATCTATAAGCCACCAAACTCCCCCACCAGTCATCTATTAGCCACCAAACTCCCCCACCAGTCATCTATTAGCCACCAAACTCCCCCACCAGTCATCTATTAGCCACCTAACACCTGCCAACATACATTAATCCCACTAAGTCACCCTTCCCCCCTGCCTCATATCCCACAGATTCCCCGCTGGAGTCGCGATGGATGTCACTGGTGCTTAGCATCCGTGGGAGGAAGGCCTCAGAGGAGGAGAGCCCCGAGACCGAGGCTGGTCCTCCAGACCACCCCTTCCGGAGCCGCGCCTCCACCGACGGCCACCTCCACCAGCGTCGTCTCTACAAGCTCCGGATGAGCCTCAACCTGTGTGCCACTAATCTACGTGAGAGGAGGATGAGCATCGCTATGCGTGGTGCTACTTGCGGCTTCTGAACAAAAGTTCCTGTATAATTACGAATTATATAAACTGCAGAAGGCTTAATGGCCCCCATATGAATCTGCTTCTATTTGTATCCACACAAGTCATTTATATATTTATATCTAACCTATGCTTGAAATAATCAAGTGATCCCACTTATGTTATATACCTGGTAATTTGCTCCATAGATCAGCCCACCCTATTTCCAAACCGATATTTATATAAATCTTTCCTGATCTTAACATTGAAATTATAAAATTCTGATATATCCGAGATGATCTTTGGAGCAGGGCGGTGGGATCGAACCTGCTACTTGCAGTACTCTGGATCCAAATGTAGACTTTCAGATAACAGTTTGTCCACCCTCCATTATACAGTATAAGTGAATGCAAACAAATCAAAAGATTTTTGTTGAATCTTTTCAAATCTCAACAAATTTCAAATTATTTCCTTGAAAATTAGTGCCAAAAGCGATATTGGCCTTTGTCTACTCATAATGAACTAATGTAAGACTGCAGAAAGCACCAATATCTAGTCCTATTGGGCTGGAAGTGGGAGATTTCCCAGCATCACGATCTACTGGGTTGGAGGAGATATATATACCAGCATCCCAATTAACTGAGCTGAAGGTGGGAGATAGTCTAGCATTTCATCATACTGGGAAGATTTGAGATTATACCTTGATGGGGTACTGAGAGTTCTATTCCCCAAGCCTGGCCCAGGGCCAAATCCGTACCAACACTATTCAGACAATAAATGTATGAATGTGGTACAGCTAACAGGATACTAGGGTAAATATTTTCCAGCTGTGTTAAATATAGTCACTTATGCATATCCCAAATTGGTTTGAGGCAAAAAGTGGGTTGTTGGTGCGCACACTATGGCTCAGATGTGCTGTGTGGGTACACCATTGCAGAAGTTCTCGATGAAAAACTATAGTAGCAACCCCTAATGTTTCAAAATATAGAACATAATAATTCACTGAACTTTCATCCCATAATGCAACTGTCAATTTCTCCCATGGAATAGCGTGAAAAAATGAGAGTAATGAATTAGTATGTATATTCATTGGAAGTAATATCAACTATTTTCTATCAAAAACCAGAACACCAAAAGTCAATCAGTCCTTCACCTGCAACAAACCCACTTGGCATAAACTCCCAACTCCATAAAAGTAACATTAAATAAACATAGGACCAATGTTATCAGTGTTGATCTAATGTTACATTAACGATGTTTTCCCAAATTAAAATACTAATCTGCATTCACCATTAAATCTTATCACAATGAGGATGCAAAAGCACAAAATCATCATAATCTTTAAAAACTACTACTGATCACTGGTCCAATTAAATTACAATTGAAGAATACTCCAGATGGAATCTTTTCAATTGTAGCCTGGTAATATTAGCCTTTTCAAGAGAACCATAAATTTCACATTAACTTTATAAACTCGTAATGCTTAATACCACATTTTTACAAGTGCATGTGAGCATTTTATTGAACAAAAACTATAAATTTGTCCAACTCCTGTAATTTACACAACTATTTTCATCTTCAACTTTTCCCCCCTAAACTGCCATCCACTGTCGGAGACAGGAAACCTGCTCAGGTTATTGAGGCTCTCCTAGGTCAGTGACCGACCTTCATGATACAACCAGCACAGTTGCCTCTCAGATACATATTTACTGCATGGGAATCTAACTTTGGCTCAATCAGTTAAGAGTCGACTGCCCTAGAGAATGCACTCCAAAACACAATTCTGTTTTAGTCTCAACAGTAATAAAAGCTCTCCCATTGAGGTTTTCATAAATATCCCATTAGCTCAACATGTTTTGCTGTTACCAACAAATTAACACCACCAATTTGGTTCATTTTTGCCTACGGTCTGCACCTCCCAAAAACACCTCTGAAGCACTACTTCATAATTGAGGAATGCACTCTTCCACAGCAGCCAAACCAAGTCATTATGTCGTCATTGTCATCCCTTATCTACATCCAACAAAGAGGTAGTACTTCCAAACTATTTAGAAACATTAACCATAAAATTAGAAATTGACAAAAACCTACCCCTAAGGAATTTAAACCAACCTTAATGTAACCAATGGGTTTGATGTTACATAGTCTTCTGGCATGGTGCTTTCTTTTGATAATTACTGAATTACACAATAGGTTGGTAAAACCATTTGCACTCAACACACAAATCACATTGGCACGATATATCACCGAGGAAATCATTTGGAGCAATGCAGGAATTTGAGTTCTAGTGACTAACTCGCTCACGGCCAAGTGGGTTAAGGAAAGCATCTTGTAATCTCTAGAACACTGGCTCAAATCCCCGCATTACTCCAAAGGTGTTCTCAATTTTGCACTCTTATGCAACGTGAGCAGAGGTTGAATTAACGAGCAGTTAGTAAATGTTTATCAGGACGGACTGCCGAGACACTTCTGGGTCGCAACCTCTCCTTAGGCTAGTCACATTAAAGCTGTGGCTAACCCCAAAATCCATCAATTTTAATTGTATTCCAATTTTTTTCTCAAATATAAATTAATATTAATATATTAATTTATGTATAGTTAGGCATAGTTGGCAACATGTTTAGGTTTTGTTGGCAACTATTTGCATTTCAATACACGAGTGAAGAATTTACAGTAAAATTTTCATATACAGCTGGATTTGGTGAAGATGACTAACTATGATTTTGATCGTTTTGGTGAATTGGCATCAATGAGCTGCCTTTGTCCACGTACCTCATACACACCTTTTCACAATTTCCATCAGGGTATAAAATCCAAGTATATGATTGAGAATGTAACCCTTTTTTCCCCACATGTGAATCAGTTTATATGCTTTTAGATAACATGCCATTTCCAGGACTAACTTCTATCTCATGTAAGAGTCACCTGAAAACCCAAAAGATACAGGATTAAAAGAACTAACTGCTTTGCCTGTTATTGAGGAAAATACTTGGTACCAAACTATTATATCAAAGATGATTTTAATTTTCTGTTAATGTTAATTTTCTATACATGAGAAAAATCCACTACAGTACGATGCGATTCCAAGTGCCCGACACAAAGCATGCATCAACTGAATCGTGCATAAAAACATACCTTGATTAAAACAATGTGTGGATTAAGAGAGAAAATCAATGTCTATCACATTTTTATTTATTTACCATACAACAGGTAAATCCTCCACACATACAGGCTGGATGTAAGAATAAAACATGTGATACTGACTAAATTATAAAATGCATTTGCAGACATCTACAACCACTCAATCCACAAGAAAATAAAATAAAGCATTACTTATTAGTTATCAAAATATTTCAATAACAAATATGCAACTGAATGATACATTTATTCATATTAACAACAGTAGTGAACTACATTTGCTGCAATTTATTCACACCTACACTATAGTATACATTCTATTTATGCAAATCTTTAAAAAGTAACAAAAGAATTTATTCCAAAAACCCCTATCAATAACTTTCAATTACTCATCAATTTCTAAAGCTCTATTAAAAATAATTTGTGATAAATAAAATAAAAAAAAAATCAACGAAGCTAGTGTCAATTCTTTTGAAGCCCGTAAATTAGACAGCAATATTACCTCTGGTGCACAGACCCCTCCTCTCCATGCCCTGGAAAGAAGTTACACCACAAGTGAGCCCATATCATCTTGTTCCCTTTTCAAGCTATATGCGCTAACCACTAGAACCAAGTCTAAAATTTCAAACTTTGCTCTGAACATTTATTTTTTATCATTTATTAAGCACCAAGCACGCTATTTAAAAGTAACATTTATATATGTTGTGTTATATAAATCTAAATTTAATTATATGCATATACTCTATACATGTTCCTTCCATTAATTTATTTTACATGGCCTTTGTTTAATATTTAATGATAAAACATTACAAAGATTAGTGCACCAGAAACATGTAACATGAAATATTCCCAATATACTAACTTTAAAAATCAATAATAATTTTGAAATATAGCTGGCATTGTGAACAATTATATACAAAAGCCCTTTAAATAAAATTCTACACTACAATATTCCCCTTCAGAGACTATCTTCCTAATTTTTCTGAAATGTGGAGGAGATATCTAAATTCTTCCTGATGAGAAATCAAACAATATATATATCACATGAATAATAATAATAAAAAAACTGCATTAACTTGACATGGTATATAGAAGTTACAAGTCACATTCAACATCACTTACAGTACTTTGCAAAAATAATATTTATTTACGTCTGGTGGGTTCTGATGCAGTGGGCGGAGGAGGGGGTCCCCGCTTTTCTAGCTCTTCCATATAGGCCATTAAAATCTTTGACCTCTCCTCAGGTTGGCAGTCTAGCACGAGGTAGCGGCGGTCCTTGCGTAACACTTCAACTACGTCACGCATGTGTTGATCCCCTTCGCTACACAGCTTTAAGGATCGATGGGTAATGCTCTTTGTCTCCTGTTAAAATAAAACAGGTTCCATTACAACAGAAATCCCTTAATTAAGTACAGAACTATAAATTCATACAACTATATAAAATGGATCTGAAAAAAGTATCTTATGTAAACAATTATATAAACATATATAGATATAACTATATATCTTTGTATGCATGCTTTTATGTATTAGACACAGAAAGGCAAATACAGTACAGGTTACTTTTGATTATTTTAAATGATATAGACTCTTATCAATATATTAAGACAAATTAAATACAAGTCACTGGAAAGTATATACAAATTTATATAATTAAAAAGGATAAAGTTTTATGCTCGTGCATTTTTGGCGAGAAAATTCCACTTTCTAAAATTTTTTTATTACTTGCTTTTTTAAATTTTATTAAATTTAGATGAAAATTTCAAATACACCTATCAAAATTCAATTCAAATTGAAATTTGAAAATTTCAAATACACCGATCAACAGGTTTACAAGTTTACCAAATGACATTTTGGAAATTTAGTTTTATTAGAAAATCTACATCAATATTAATCTTGGTGCCGATGAATAGCATGAGCCAGTGCCCAATACCCGTCAGCTATCAGGATAAACCTGTTAGCCATCAGAAAAAGTTTAATGCCACAAGACACATTTATTACACTGTGCTTACATCAATGATTCATTTAAGGCACAAACATCCAAGAACAAAATTGTGGAAATTTGTCGGTATGATTTTGCCACTATAGGATAATTAAATTCATTAACAAACCCCTACAAATACTGTGTATCCATATTCAGATAACTATGCATTATTTTGTATTACTACTAGCAAATCCATTAAATATACCATAACCAAACAAATTTTAATAAATAAAATGCCAATGAGTGTAAGCTGAGACAGCTGGGATCACATTTCTAACCCTGAAGTCCCTTAACCTGCAACCTGAATTGAGTCAATTACACTAATCACAATCTCTCATAAACACAGCTTTACTATAAAATAACGATGGGTGATGGTACCAATTAGCATGCATTATTTCTAATCATTTATGCCAAACACACCTTGAGTAGCTCTCTAAAGTCAGCTTTGGCAGCCACCAATTTATCTTTCAGGTATTCACGAAACTCTCGCTCACACTTCTTGTCCGACGACGAAAACTTTGTATATCGTGGATCATCCTTAAGTTCTTTTTTCAGATCTTTCCAGTTGGAGTCCAGATTCACTTCTGGCAACTCTTCCAACAGTTCTCTAATGATAAAAAATGGCAAACTGGTTAATACAATACATTGTGTAAATAACTGAATAAAGTAGCCATTCCATGATCATCTATGGCAGAATAATTTTGGCAGATGAATTATCTTCTTACCTTTAGACAATAAATGCCTTGATAAATGCTTAGTATATTTAAAAACATGTAAAATGCATAAAATATTACAATTAAAAGCCATACTTAATCAGAAACCTCCAATTATATCATCCAAATAAACAAACATATATAAACGACATTTATTAATGGAAAAATTATTCGATTATGAGTAATACACACACACACACTGGCAACTGGAAAAGAGAGTGTGGAGATGGAGGTGGTGAAGTTGTGGAGCAGCAGTAGCTAGCTCTATAACTCTCCCTTGCAGCTACTGTACTGAATGCACTTTCAACTCCCAACATTCAAATTGTTCTACTTGATCTTGAAGCTGTAAATGGTGGATCCTTTCACCACCTGAGGCTCAAGATTGTAAAATTGATTATTACACACTGCATATGAGTAATTCCTTATATTTCTCTGCTTCATCTGTGTTTCCAATTTTCACCTGTTCTGTTATTCTCTTCAATCCGTAACTTAGCAGGTACTTATAGTCTGTAAATATTGTCAAGAATGATACTACCCAATTCAAGAAATTGTTTGCATAGATTAGGAACAGTTGTGGCCAAAGCAACAAACTCTACAGGACACTGCTCGTCACTTCCCTGCACCATGACACTCAAGACAATGTAGAACTTCGACAAACTTTCCTACATACTAGGAGGATAAGAAATTTAGTACTGAAAAGCCCAGTCATTTTCAAGGATATTTATGATAATCTAGGGGCAGGTTATGAAAAATATTTATAAAATATTGAAGGTGAAAAATTTAATTGAAAGAAGCTCAAAGTACTGTAATGATATAAAATACATTCATGTATCATGTATTTAGGAACACTTTTAAAGTATTTATAGAAAATCAGTGAGCAAGCAGATATCCCAAGAACAAAAATTAACATGAATGGAATTAGAATTGTCAGCAACATAACAAAAAGCATAAATAACATTGTTCAAAATAGATTCCAACCAACCTTCTATGAACTTCCCTTTACTTTAAAGGTAACCAAAAACAAATTCATTATATGAGGAAATTACAAAGGTCCAACTTACCTGAACTTTTCTCGTTTCCGTTTAGTCAGGTTTTCTACGTGATTATTAAATAACTTCTCTTTCTCCTCACGCTCTAAGGCTCCAGCAGATTCCCAACGCGAATCTTTCTTTAAAGACTTCTTGGCTTCTTTCCAAGTGTAATCAGTACTTCGTACCTTGAAGGGCATAGCAAAGCAGTAATGTTTATTCAAGATATAGCATTAATTACATCAATATTCAGGTTTCCTACTTTCAGAGTGGAGAGGCACCATGGAAAGCAATTAAAGAAAACAACTAGATTATCACACACACTACATAACACAACAGCACCTCATTAACATCAGCAAATTTCACCAGTTTCAACTTATGTTCTGATGCCATTTATCTCTTAATTAAATATATATGCTGGTATTTAATGTTAAATTATTCTCACCAGCAACCCCAATTAAACTCACTTGTACTAAATTCATTCTCTACATCTATTATTTCTCCATTCCCAGTTTGGTAATATTCTTCCATGCTTCTCTTTCAACAAGTAGACCACCACCATACAGCTGTTCCCCTCCCTCCAATTACTTTTAAAACGAAAGTTTTCTATTTTGGAAAGTATTTCTTCAATACTTTGTTCACTTTTATTCTACTTAAATCTTGTTATATACCTTTCATTAATGATTATTATATTTTTGCCATTAAAAATAAAATTGTGTTAAGGACATTATTGGTTTAATTACTATTACTGACAAATACAATTTAGCAAGGTACTCACACAAATATAGTACAGTACAGTATACATATGTGACAAACTTACCAAGTCTGCTAGTAATGCATTGAAGTTATGAACAGCTTCATCGTGCTTGTGCTGCATACGCTCCTTATCACGGTCTCGGAGATGGCCTGCAAGAGCTCTCTGGACCTCCTCCTCCCTCTTTCGCAGGGATTCTTCAATTCTTCTTTGTCGTTCACGCTCCTCTTCCTCGGCAGCTTCGTTCGCTTCCCCATCTTCACGTTCCTCATCAGGTCCGTCACTGCCTGTGTCTTCACCCTTCAGAATAAATGAGCACTGGTAATTTTTAAGCTTAAGCATTCTACCTGATGTAGTATTTTGTAAATACTTTATGAAGATTTAAATATTAGAAATGAGCAAGATACTAAAAATAAATAACTAGCAAATTGCTACTAATCTATACTAACTACACAATATAGTCATGCATATTCTATGGACACTAATCAAAAGTCGTACCATGCTAGACAACTTGGTTCTCCTAACCTCGCTCTTATGATTGTCCTCCACATCCTCGCCTTCCTCTTGAGTAGTTTCTACATCATCTTTCTCCCTTTCTTTCTCCTTTTCTTTATCCTTTTCTTTCTTTTCTTCTCGGTCCCTCTCTTTGTCCTTTTCTTTCTCTCTCTCTTTGTCTTTCTTTTCCTTCTTCTTCTCTTTACGGTCAGACCTATCCTTCTCCTTACTACGGTCACGAGAATCTCTGCTTCTTCTTTCCCTTTCCTTTTCCCCTCGATCTCTATCACGTTCTCTTTCACCGCGCTCCCGATCACGTTCGGAGCGATCCCTCTCTCGCTCACGATCTCTGTCACGCTCCCTTTCCCTATCCCTGTCACGGGTTCTTGATCTATCCCGAGAATGTCTCCGTTCTTCTTTGATCTGAAAAATCCAGTTTGAAATTATTTTAAAGTATTAAAGCAGCAAATACAGTATTATAAAAAGAATTTGAAGAACAAACTACAAAATTGATTAAGGAGGAATTGCAAATGAACATATATACCCCTCTATAGGAATCTGCAAAAGCTGCAGTCTTAATGTCATATACATTGAGACATGTATATGCATGCAAAAACACACTACCCCATCCCACCAGTGTGAAGCTGTAATGCATGCTAATACATAATGCATCAACCATCCAACTACTGTACTCAGCCTACAGCTCGCCTGTATGCAGTTTAACATTTTATAATCCATTCACATTTAATCGAAAGACAGGAATTAGGAACTTGTAGCTTAGGAATTTTATTCCTAAGCTACAAAAGCTCTAAAAAAAATGCATATTTCGTAACCCCTTGAACTGCTCCTTAGCTTAATTTGACAATTCTGTGTGCATTAAAAAAAAAATCTTTAAATTTGTCTTAAAATGCATTTCCTGATCACAGGTGGATGAGAGGAAGAAAAAAATTGTATGTGATGTACTTTGGTCATTATGGAGCAATTTATGGCTTCTGAGTGAGTAGACGCTTCTTGGTAACGCTTGCCTTAGCATCCCCAGGGGCATGAGCTGTCTCAAAATATTAAATAATTATTTAAATATGTCTGAATGGATTTTCCATTTTTTTTTTTTTTTGCTGTAACCATTCAACAATGTGTAATTTGAGAGATTTATATAATCAAATGTCTAGAACATCACTATGCTGAAAAATGTGTGAATAAGATATGCACCTTATTAAGTTTAGAACAATAAAACTGTTTTACTGTTATTTCACTTTACACACGTATATACCTATCTACATTTTTGTGCACAATTACAAAGCCCTAAGCATTCTGGTGAATGAAATAACCTTATAACCAGTTACCAAAGTTCAGCCTAGTCTTGCATTGTTTACATAAAGTTTTAAGAGCACACATTGAATATATCACATTTTCTTTGGATTGCAAAGATTTTTACAATGGTTTTTTTAAAGTGTAATGATGCACTGGGCTGTCAATAATATTATTTGTATCACAGAACGTGAAGAATAGTGGTTCTCACAGACACGACATTAATGTCACACCACATTCCTCTCACTAAATCCCGAATGAATATGAATCCATTTCTATAAGGCTTAAAAGAGCAAATGACCACTTAAAGGAGCAAGAGGTCATTTTGACAAAGTGAAGATGCACAAAACAATGGCTGAGTACTGAGACTGATCATCTCGCATTGTAAACACCAACAACACTGTGTTCACTGATATCTGAACATTTTATATAGTCCTTATCACAATCATGAACCTTTTTACACTTTATATTATTAATGGATACTGTGGCTCATAGCTGCAAAGGGGTGCTGTGAGCCCCTGCTGCATGCACCAGTATGGCGACACACAGTACTGAGGCTCTTAGCCAGGAGAGATGCAAATTAATTTTTTTGTTTTCAAGATATAGTCTGCTTACTGGAGTCATGAGGCACAGAATGTGAGCCTTGTGTACCCTTTTTTGAATCTTTGCCTATACCTAAATACACAGCACTGGTCAAGTGTCTGAAGGTGCTATGCGCAGCGCAATGGTTAAAATCTGTGTACCACATTTTTTATAAAATTACACTTAAGCATTACAATAAGATATGTTCCAATTGCACCCAGGCACAATGCTTAATACACAAATAGTCTTGAAGTAATAATACATCCAATTTACATATGATAATGAGTGTAGATGGGGCGGGCAGGTGAGATTGATATTTATTCCACTTAACCTAAATGGCCTTTGGCCCCCTTTTAAAATTGTGTAAAGTCCATAAGAAACCTGTATGAATGCCCACACCACATTACAGCAAGATTGACTATAGATGAGGCAAGTCCATTCTCAAAATTAGACAACTTCAAATGGAATGAACCAAGTTTTGTCAGTTTAAAATTATATACTAGGCCTGCTGAAGCCATCACATGGAAATTGGGACAAAAAACTTAACGTGTCTACATTACTAAATTAAATACATGCCATACTTTTTTTTGCTTAAATTATTTAACTTATGTTAATCAAGCTTCAAAGCAATATAATGACATGTACGAGATTTTGGACCTTAACTAATGAACGAGAGAAAATGAAGCATGACCAAACCATAAGCTATAACTACTGATGTTATCAAATAGTAAACCTAATATAATACTGAAATTTTTAACATTTGAGTCTAACTGATATAAAAAACAACTAATTTACCATGCAATCGACTCCTAAGAACACAATGAATTCATGTTGTTTATTAAAACACTCAAGTAAAACATATTTCACGTCACCTTTATTTTTGATAACTCAGCAAACAAATGGTTAAGAACTTATACAAGAAAGCACAATACGATTGGGATTAAAAGATGCACCAGAAATCTAAGAGGCATAGCCCAAGAGCTGGACCATAGACTACACATGCATATAAAAAGGTAAAACAAGACATCATACTATGTAAGCTGATAAAAACATGATAAACTTAGCAGCCAGGCACACACCAGCATGCACACCTGTGTTCTAGGCTCTTTCAATCTCTTGACGAGGCACATCTTTTACACATCTGCGATCTAGTCCCCACTTTTCTCCCGACCCCAACATCCAAGATGGGAATACACATCACAACTAGATTTGTCCCTGCTGCCTCACTGTCACAGGTTCTTATTTCCCCACAGTGTGTGCATGTCCTACCAACTGCTACAGTACCTTAATAGTGTCATTTCTAAAGACACCATTTAAAAAAAAAAAAACATACAGTATCTTGCACTGCCTAGTGAACACTTGCTATCATCCTCAGTGTCGAGAAATATTATCCCTCATATCCATTTCTTTAACCATGTCAACACTTTTTACCGGGTCTGGTTCCACCCCAATTCCTCTACTCAACATCCCGTCCAAAATGTTCTCCTGCAATGATGACTTATCACCTAAATAAATTCAGAGTTGGTGGAGTATACACCAGTATACTCCACCAAGCTCAGACAACTCCTACAATAGGTAAATACTTTTTTCTTCCAGTTACCATGATTAGCCATGACATGCTGCTCATTAAAACAAACTGGGTAACAACAAAGACAATTGCACAACACTACAGAAGCACCTAGACCGGCTACAAACTTGGTCAGAAAGATGGTTCCTAGTGATCAATTTCAAACAAGTGTAAAGTAATGAAATTTGTGAGAAAAAGTATGTGAAACCAATTTCTAGGCCCCTGGGAACATCTAAATTTTTGACACTCGTGGACCCAAAACCTATTGGGTGACCTCATTCATTGTTAACAGCAAAAGAATAAAAACAGTACAGGTAGCCTGCAATTGTGTGAAATTGATTACTTTTTTACCAGGTTCCAAAATTCATCAGTAAATTTAAGTTATGCAGGTTGAAAATGTATTACCACATTAGTACAAACACTCAAATGTTATTCCTCGGATCTACCAAATTACTGGGAATAAATTCCGGGTTTCCAACAATTCTTCATTGTCTTCTATGAACTTTTGAATTATATCAATGCATTATTGCACATCCCATCATCCTGAACTTCATTAGAAGCTGAATTTAATGCAAGAAAGTGGAGGAAACATTAAATCAATGTTAAAACAGACAAGTAGAAAAAAGTAGACGTTTAGTGTTATCTGGAATCTAACTAGTTATTCACTTATTTTGTGTGCATGCAATTCTTGCACTGCATGGTTTTTACAGAAAAGTAACCATAATACAAGTTGAGTGCTACCTGTACAAAAAGTGTATTAGAACTTTGGGAGAGATATCAAAAGAGAGAGATATCAAGGGCAATAACCGAGTTGCTATCCTAAAATTAAATCATGCTCCCCATTTATGCATCAATTTTTTGCATCTACTATTTGCAAAAATATCTCAAGATCAACAATTAAGTATTGCAAAATAGCTGAAAATATAGAAAAATATAATGCATCATATAGGTCTCTCTGGCATAATTTGTCATGGCAGACAAGCTGATCACCTATAATTCTGACCATAGTTACCCACAACATTATTAGCTTTGGTGGTTTCACACTAAAAGAATTTGTTGTACGTTTTCCCAAATATTAAAAACTTACTTCTACTGTACATGAAATTTGGAAAAGCAGCTGTACATGAAAAATCGAAAGGTGTTATCATAGCAATCTGTTTCCCCAACACTGATGAAGACATGTCTGCTTGTTTTTGTCCTAGTACTGTTTTATCTGACCACTGCCATTGCAGCACCTGTCAAGTCTCCCGCAACTGCTCGGAACAACACGCACAAACCTACCCATTGTCTGATTGTTACCAGTCACACTTGTATATCAATGAACAAGCGAGTAATTACTCATAAGAATAAGATTTACTTCTCTGATAATTTTGAAGCCCATTGGAAAATCTACATTCCTTACGAGTCACTGAGTTTCTATTTCTTTATTTGTTCTAATGTGTGATTACCTCAACCACACACTCATGTACGTGGAGTTAAGATACAGATCAACACAGCCATCCATGCAATTGACATTTTACTAAGCTCGTCCTTAACCCCTCCACCTGCTGCAACAACAAAATACATACATGCACGTTTGGAATAATTCTCACGAGAATAAAAAGCTTACCCAGAGCAAAATTGTGAAATTTGTCTGTCATTATATGGTGTTTTTGCTTTAAATCTCTAAAAAGCTTTAAAGGGTCTAAAAACAAATGAACAATACCTGAAGCATTTGCTGTGGAATGCTGTGCCTTGGTTGGCTATTCTGTAAGTGAAGAAAGCAATATTTTTTGCACCAAGAAGTAATTGTTGAAAACAGTAACGATGGTTTGCACTAGCATGTGCTAACTAGGAAAATGTAAGTATGTTAAAATAGTCAATTGTAAGGTAAATTACTATAATGGTCAAATCATAAGAACACTGCAGAGTTCGACAAGAATGAAACCACTAAGTGACTATTTTTGTCTGAATAAAATGACAAAGATTTACCAATAAAAACTATACAATTTTTATTTACCCATTCCATATTGGTATAGATACTGGACCAACTTATTGACAGTAAAATTTTCCTCAGGTTGAGATCTGCTTGCAAGTGCTATGAAGAATTGGAGTGGGAGCCTAATCCCAATAAAAATAAACTTCAGAGAAATTATGTCAAATTTCCTTGCTAGCCAACAAGAAATGGAAATAATTCAAGAATTTATATATAAACTAAAGGCACAAATAACCTAAGTACAAATTCTCAATAGTTTATATAAAATGATTTGCAAATATTAACAGAAATGTGAATGCCTTTATATCTAGAACAAAGTGTTTCAATACAGAGAATATCACAATGTGGCTAAAAATTTATAATCCAGGCTATCCACATGTAAAGAAATGTGGCGACATGTTGGTCTATTCTGGGTTAGGTAAATAAAGAGTCTTACCTTGATCATGTAATCACGGAACCAGTCTTCCCGCTGAACCCCAGATTCCACAATTTTATATCTGGGATCATTGTCAACTTTACGTTTAACATCGGACCACCGACTATGGCGATCGATATCTGCCTCTTTCAACATTGCAAAGAAGTCCTTCTTGATCTAAATTGGGGAGAAACAAGGCACTATGTTATTGACACATTAATTGTCTTCACAAGTATTTAAATTTAACTACTTAACAATCAACTGCCATCTGAAAGGGAAACACATTAACTTTGCCAGGTCTCCATACTACTGCTAAATAACCTACATCCTGTAGGGAGGGAAATGTCTGAGCTTGTGGAAATGTGAATATCTGAAAAAGAAAGGGTATAAGTCAAGATAATATGGGGATTTGAACCATCATCCTTCCCTAACTATTGAGTTATGATACAAAGTTATTCATAATATTTGTTGGTACTTTGTGCTCTCTTTATAAGTATAATTCACTTTTTCCATGAAAAATTAATATTTTCTAGCTTTTTTGAGTTGTACATTGGCAATAATGATATATTTACAAGTTAGCTTTTCTGATTCAACCATGCATAAAATCATTACAATAAAGGAGCTCTGAGATGACATTCTAAGGCTCGGTAGGTCAGGATTACAAACAAATCAAACATGACAAACTTTCAATGCTTTTTTTAATTTAAACACTTTCAGGAAGGTTATTCATGGCTAAAACAAAATGCATACATCACTATAGGCAAACAAAGCCAAATAGCACTGAAAGTTTGCTTTTTTTTGTTTGAAAGACTAATAAATCGACTACAAGGTAGTAAGAGAAAAAGAAACATCTGTGTACGGGTGAAGAAACAAATGACTGCTGATTATTATTTTTCCATCACAGCCTATCAGCAACAATTCTGATTCTCTTCATCAACTTAAGACTAAGGTATCTTATTCCACAAATCAGTGATTGAGTACATTCCTCCAGAAAAAGAAAACTCCATAAAACATGTTACATGATATCATTTCTATTAACAACTCAGTAACTAGGTTTTTTATGAGTAATTGATCTTGAGTGCAAACTGAATTGGTAGTATTGACGATAAATAAATGATCATGAGTGCAAAGTTAACTGGTAGTATTGACAACTGACTGAGTAAAAACGTAGCAAGAGATGGCTCAGTACCAAATATTACATGCGCTTGGCTTTATCCCGCTCTGGGGCAGAGAATAAATAGAGAGGGTGGTGGTGATGGTAGGAGTGGAGGTGGAGGGCGACTCTCGACCAAGGGGGCCACCCGGACCTTCCAGCCAGCACCGGCAGCGGCAAGAGGCTGCAATGCGCGACCCAACATCAACAATGTGTCATCAGCAGAGATGCGAGCAAGCCCACACTGCTGTACATCATGTGGGCTCGCTCGCACTGCCTTCATATAAGCTGCACCTGGGGTCTACGTCAGTTCAGCTCCACACGAGACTGCTTCCATGGTTCATATGGCTGGTGCGTTGTGCTAAATACGGTTTAAGCCTAAAAACACCTTCACTTTTCTCTTATTTATTTGATTTAAATCATCTCATTATTTGTTAACATTACACATGCAACTTGAATGAAATGACTTTCAAGTACTGTATTTCCCAATTATGAGAATCATTCATAAATCATTTTATATCATATGTAGAAATAAATACACATCAGGCTAATTTATCTCTATGTTTCATTCATCTGTACTAAACAAGAGGGTGTAGTAGAAAATATAACTAGCCTGACAAACACCAAAACCTACAACCTAAACATTCACAAATATATATGTATATACGAGTAATATCACCTGGAAAGACACCTTATTTATTTTAGACTTCCTGAAAAGAAATGGTTTATTTTCCTGAAAGCAAAAAAATAGAAAAAAAAAAAGAGAAATGAACAATCAAACCCTATTTATATGGAGTCTCAGCTTAATCACCCTCCTAACAAGCTTAGATTTCACTGAAAGGATCACTTGTAAACAAAGCTAAATATTTCATCAAAGGCACTTGAGAACATACAGCATAGAATACTTTCCACTGATATTATCAATATTATCATTATTACTGGAATATCAAAATTAGGGTGTATTTTGGTAGAATTTAAACATTTAAATTATCTCATTTGCATTTGAAATGAGCTCTGAGAAGCCCAATTTACTATTATACAAATTGAATAAATTTTCATTGTTCATTACTTCAAATTTAAGAATATATACTTCAAATACAAAAAAATATTTACCACTATTGTAAATTGGGTTAAAAGCCTGAAAATATGAACTTGTCATAAAGGAAGAAGAAAAAGTTTAACTAAAATAAGAAATACTTGAAACTACAAATTCCTCTCTTGATTGAACCAGTTAATGACAATGGCATAAAAACGGAGCAAATACTTCTGATATCAAAATGCTGCACTAGAGAAGTGGAGAGGGTGGAGCTACTGCTTACTGAATTTTGGGCTAGTGCCAGTTGATCATCGGAGTTGGGATAAATCCCACATTCTGGATGATTTAATGCAAACAAATTCTTGCTGGGAAGCACTCTTGCATCAGAATTCCTTAAACTGCATGCCTTACTCTGCTGTTAAGACACTGGTTAAACAAAAATCCAAAATAGGTCATGACATTCTGCAGATTATAACGACACTCATTAATGTGTTCTTAATGCAACAATAATTTTGAGAAAAATTAATTGAAATCAATAAAGAAAAAAAGAATTGATTCAAGTATATAATTCACATTTTAAGACTTAAGTGCCTAATCCAGAACAAAAATTACCCCAGTATGCTTGTGCTTAGGTAATACGGAATCTATAGCCTACTAGTGTATGCCACTTCCCAGATTTAAAGCAGTCTCTCCGATTCAGAATCCAACAACATGCGCTGAAAAGCTCTTACGCTGTAATAACCAAAATGATTAACACGATTCAAGGAAGTCAAACGCATACTTCCAACAGTACAGTAATTTATTACTTCAGGGCATACCAGGAGCCAAATGTAATTTATACGATATTTCTTAATTTGTATAAATATCAAATTTCATAAACTTGAAACAATTGGAATTGTATCATACAGAAAGTGGCCAAATATTAAATTAAAGACAGACGGTACCAAAAAATGATATATGATACGATTCTGAATGGAATGCTGTACAATAAATATAGAACGAGGCAAAGCTGATATTATATTACTGTAATCACTTCATTATAAATACAAATCAAAACTTAATTAAATGATATTCGCTTTCTCTTTCTTTTTAAGGAGATTTGAAAATTATCAATGCTTCTTGTCATCATATAATCTCAATAATAAAGAATTAAATGTATCAATTAGAAGACCTCTTAAAATGATTTCTTTAGTAATTTAAATTTTTCAAGTGTATGTGCATACATATAGAAATAAATGTCATGCACACACATGAGCACGAACACACACCTAGAAACAAATGTAGGCATATATATAAATTAAACTGTGCACACCCCCCTATGAATATGTGCATACTTATCCCCACTCAGCTGAAAGACTGGGCTGTGGTAGCAATTTTGAAACCCACCATCACAAAAACTTGTACATGAAATGCATCAGAAGCAAAATTCTTAATATTAGGAGATTTCAATTACCGAGTAATGAACTCAAAGATATGGAACCACCAATGCAGGCAAATACACATCACTCACTAAGACTAGTACAAGGCATAGCCTTTATTAATCATATAAAAAGGACATTATTCACCATCTATGTGAGGCCTGCAATGACACCAATGCCTATATTGCACTAGTAAGGAACATGCTGTAAAAAGTGCAAAAATTAAAATGGAATGCTGCCACATCAGTACCAGTATTTAGAGGGGAAGGGGCTATGAACCCCTCCCAGGAATGAAGCCATATATTTCTACAAAGGTGAAGTACTAAAGAACACCTGATTACAACAGAACGAGAGAGCACATGTGGTAAAGAGGAAGCAGAAATAGTGACATACGAAAGCATTCCTTCCACTTGTGCAATGAACTGAAGGAATGATCAAGGAGGAGATAATTGAAGTTATCTGCAATATGGAAGGAAGGAAGTGTTGAATGGCCCCAGTTTAGAGTAGATGTTCTGCCATAAGCACAAAGAAAATACTCAATAGCTATCAGAAGCCCCACTAATTTTCAACCTTCTTCCAACCAATGCAAGAAATATTGCCAAAACAAAGGTACAACTTTTCAAGATGGAATTACATAGGTTCCTGCAGGAAGTGCCAGATTAACCGAGTTGTGATGGCTATGTGGACCTGTGGTTTACTGCCAGCAGCAACATATTCATTGCTATCACCAGAAGAACCTGACAGTGAAAGCAGATGTACTCTTGACCACCACAGGCAAATAGTGTTGGGCATTTCTACCACCAGACAACAAAACTCGTAACAAGTGGAGCCAAAGAGTTCAAGCTTATTCCCCACAAACATGAAAGAAGAGGTATCTACCTTTATCACATTTCCATGCACAAAGAAGTGCATATTTATGCAAGTAACTGAAATTTACTCAATATACTCGTATATTGAACTTTCTGGTATTTACTACATTTCCACTTCAACCATTTTCTCATCAAACTTTGAACCAAATTATTACTTTCATTTGATAATTAAATCTATTTATTCTTCTAGCATGAACAGATGTACTCCAATTGTTCTTAAGAGGTGAGCCTTTTTCTTTCCATATAATCATTGTTCCAAGCATGGAGTTAGTCTTCCAAACTTGATAAGGTAGCATGTATAAATATCAAAATGTTTATTAAAAGATTCTACATCCCCTGTCTCAAATTCAAAGCTACAGCATTTAAATACAATACAAAAATAATAAAAATCTTAATTAACTTCATTTTAACTATATAGCTTGGGAAGAAAACAAATTAACAATAATGATTCATTAACCTATATGCCTTTTACCAAAAAAATATACTGAAAATTTTATAGTTAAGATAATATTTTTTAACAACATACCCAGTACCTTGCTGCAAAAATAATGGTTTAGTCTCCAGCAGAGGTATAGTATTCACTTATTTCTACATAGGAAACATAAAAATGCAGAAAATGCTACTGCAGCTCTTTAGGAAGTCATACATTCCTAATTCAAAAAAATATATATAATACTCACATGTTGGCATTTATTACATAT